AATATGTTACAATCAAAGCTTTGATCTGTCACTGAAATAACTATGAAAGGCAACAGAACAATACTTCGAACCTTATCGTTATTTCCAGTCGCGGTAATTAATCGATTTCTAGCAGAATTTATCAAAATTCAGTTACGTAACATGCGTGCTCGGTGAAAAGCGTTATGACGCAGGCGGCTTTAGCGACGTGTGAGCAATTAATCACCGAAATATCCGGAAAACGTGGCGCGGCAAAAATTTTCCTCACAATTAACTCTTCCGTATTCCGCTGATAGGAAAAATTGCAAATATCAAATCGTTATCAATAGAGAAATATTCAATCATGCGAATTGCACGAATATGAACAGGCGACGATATTTTTTTTTCATGGGAAAAAGATTCGTGGCAAGAATTGCATTTTATAACTTTTAAATACTGAATTGCTGTGCAAAGCCTATCGCGATATTTTTTTCAGCGTTTTTCGTGCAGTAACGCAGAAAATTCATCGTAATGAATCGATTTTCGCGAATTAAGGCAGTGCACAAAAAATCCCCACAGAATGCAAATCTACTCGAACGGTGCATTTCGTGACACGGAAGTTGTGACAGGGCGTTAGAACCTCAGATAACAGGAGACAGAAAATACATCGATCGATTGGTATACGTAGACTGATGCGTAGAGTTAATTCGACGATAATGACGTTACGATCCCTCGTATATTTCGTTATACGAAACTCTCCGTGGAAATATCGCGGCGAAAAAAGAGGAATTATACACTTTCCAACGCGAAGTTAACGTTTCCGTTCGTATAAACCACGTTACGCAGCGTTGTGCGAATTTTCACTGGCGAGAATTTTTGAAATGGTTCATTCTTTCCGGTAGCAGTTTTTGTTCACTTACATAGTTGCGTTATTGCTCGCGCAACTTCCTATTCATAGCGTAATTGTAGTACATGCATTAGGTTCGAAACCGTTGCGTTGTTCTCGAAAAAGTTCGTTCTCTTCGTGATTACAGTTACGTGCCGTATTGTCGAACTCTTATCCCGGTGGTTTCATTAAAATTCATGGAAGATACTTCGCGCAATCCCCTCCTTTAAATAGCAATATTTTCCCTGGACGTGTAATGTATTCCAAAATTATGATGCTTTCGAACAGTCTATATCTCATTCCACAGTAATCCGCGAGGAACGTGAACACCGGATACATATATGTATAAGGCCTTCGATATCCAATTCGAGTCCACTGTCTAATTCACTCGCACTTATGTTAGCCTTATTTAATAGCCCTAAATGTCTCGAGCTTCAATTTATGGTTTGCCAGCTCTGTCTTCTCGTGCGCGTTGTCAGCCGTTGTAACGAGTCATCATCGGGAATAAATACCACTGTAAAGTGGCATCCAATCGGACTGGAGCAGCTTGACTCGTAATTGAAATCGTAAATAAAAAAGTAATAGCAGCCATGGATTTTATTAAACCACTTTTCCTTTCCTGTCCTTCGAATCGGGTGTCGTAAAACGCGTTTGGTAAAAGTGGGTCTACGCTTGGTGTGGTATCCATCCGAAAGCGAACGCAGATGTACCCAATACCCACAGGCATCCTACGATGGCTTTGTTTAACTTTCGCACAGCGTTGCATCCAGATAGCGGCGCCCGAGCGAATCACAGCGTGAAATTATCAGATGATTAAACTTATCAGAGATCAGTTTGCTGAACGGGCTACTTCAGTTAAATAGAACATTCCGAATTTAAACTAAAATTTATTCTGCCTCCTCGGAACAATTTCTCCTCGAAATCTGGCTTATGGTAAAAATGGTTATTGCGCAATCTTTCCCAGACAAATTTAATTGTGTACGTTTTCGAAGCAATAAATCGCAAGCGAAGTTTCAAGTGGACTACGAAATGACGGGGGCGAACTTGAAGTAGTGATGGGCACCATCGACTAAAAACTATCGATTTAGTCTATAGTAGCCAACGATACTTTTAGTCGGCTAAATCTCTGATACTATCGACTACATCGAACCAAATTCAGGCGGCTGCTTGAATGATCGATAAACTGCAATCTATAGCTCGACGGTCCAAGTTCAGAATATAAATACCATGATCGCTGCTTTGGATTATATTTATTCAAGGCTCGCGAAATAAAATTTTAAGATGCATATCTATTAATT